ACTGCCTGTATAGCCCCTCTGTGGGAGCTGAGGACTGAGAAGCCTCGTAACAGACCGAGAACTCACACCTGAGAAATACGACTGCTGCTAAGAAGATGGATCGCCCTGCTGCCTCAGGCATCGAGGTAGGCAGTGGAAGCAGAGCAGTTTCACAACAGGAGTGTGAGTCGTCTGATTTCTTGGCAAGTGCTAATGAGAAACCGGAGACACTTAAAGATGGGGGTAAAAGGGAATTGACACTTACACAGATTTGCATTCCCCAGAGGGTTCCACCATCACTCCAAGTTTGGATAATTTTACTGGTGTCTGCCCCTATTGTAGTTACAACAGCTGTGGAGTCCAGCATCAGTCATCAACCTTTTAAATGTTCCCTAACACAATTTGATACTGGTCGAGTAATACGAACTCTCATTACTCCTGGAGCGCCCAGCTTTCGGGTACACCTGTGTGACTTAGTCCCTATACAACCCTGCCCGAGACTCATGGGATATTACTTTTGTCCAGCTTCAAATTCTGGGAAGTCATATTGTAATCACCCAGGGCATTTTTATTGTGCCTATTGGGGTTGTGAAACTATATCAAATTACTGGGCCCCAGGAGGGGGAAAAGACAAGGTTTTAACGGTTACTTGGGGACCCTTTGGTTGTCAACCTCCACAAATTGATAGGGTCTGGGAAATAATTCATAGAGGAGATTGTAAGTTTTTATATTTAAACGTCACAAATGTGGGAGACTTAGGATGGAATCTTGGGAAAATGTGGGGGGTGCAACTACCAACCAGGTCCTCGCTCGGATAAGGGGGGACGCATTTTAATAAAAAAAGAACCACTACGTAATGAACCATCTGGAATTGGACCAAACTCAGCTATAGCAAAAGAAATAAAAAAAGAAAAAGCTTTAGTTCCCTCTACCCCTAGGGCTATCTTGGCCACAAACTCTAATTTGGATGCCCAAATAGAAGGGGAAGTTTCAACACCTACTCCACAAGTCAATCCATTGTGGAACATATTAAAAGCTACCTATCATGTGTTGAATTTTACCAACCCCAATATAACACAACACTGCTGGTTATGTTATGACATCAGGCCACCTTTTTATGAAGCAATTGGGATTGCTACTGAGCCAACAAAAGTTACTGGTGCCAATCCAGCCCCATGTCTATGGTATGAGGAGAATAAACGAGGTTTGACTATGTCACATGTATCAGGGGTGGGAAAGTGTATAGGTAATAACCCTACCAACAGACGACACCTGTGTACCACTATTGAAAAAGACCCGAAAAGACAAAGTCCAGCAGCAGATTGGTTATTACCTACTAAGAATGCGAAATGGCTTTGTTCTCAGGCAGGCATTACTCCTTGTGTGTCTCTAAAAATCTTTGATAGCACTATTGAATATTGTATCCAGGTAATTATTGTGCCAAGACTTATCTATCATCCGGAAAACTATGTTTATGATTATCAAACCACTCAGTCTCATCATTTACAAAAGCGTGAACCATTCACAGCGTTCACTGTGGCAGCCCTTATGACTATTGGAGCGGTTGGGGCAGGAACTGGAATATCCTCTCTCATACAGCAAAACCACAGGTTTCAATCCCTAAGAGAGGCTGTGGATGAAGATTTGACTAGGATAGAAACAGCGATGACGGCCCTAGAAAAATCTGTAAAATCCTTATCAGAAGTTGTATTACAAAACAGGCGAGGACTAGACTTAATGTTCTTACAACAGGGGGGGTTATGTGCTGCTTTGCGTGAGGAGTGTTGTGTTTTCGCGGACCACAGTGGAGTGGTCAAAGATACGATGTCTAAGCTGAGAGAAGGATTAGAGAAACGACGAAAGGAGCGCGGAATGCAACGCACTTGGTATGAATCCATGTTTAATTACTCCCCCTGGATAACTACCTTGTTATCCACAATTGTGGGACCCCTGCTCCTTTTAATCATAGCTTTGACGTTTGGTCCGTGTATTTTTAATCAATTAATCGCTCTTATAAAACGACGGAGGCCACCCATCTTCTAGTATTAAGGACGCAATACGACCAAATTCCGGACGAAGAACACACTCTGACTCTCCAAAGAGCAAAAGATGTCTTAGAAAGATTTCACGAACAGAGTCAATAAAAAAAAAAAAAAAAATTAGGGAAATGTGATAAACTATATGTATTTTTAGAGAGATTGTTTTTGTTAAGCTTACTAACACTTCAGGCTATGGATGTGCCATTTCTATATGTATTTCTCTCATGGCTGTTAAGGCTACATTTTAAAGGGTTTTTTTAAGCTTAGTAAAAATATGCATTCCCCACGTAACTGTGGAATGCTGTTAACAAACTGCCGTTTGTTCCCAAGGTTGATAGTGGAAGGGGGGCAGTCTGACCCTGTAATTTACAGTACCCTGATAACATCATCCAAGGCGACAATCTGGAGACACGGAGAGGTTCCCCCTAAACAAGGAGTCAAAAGTGATTTAGGAATGTGATAAGCCTGGGAGGGGAGGAGAATACCTTTTAAATGCGCATATTCCAAGCTAGGGTCATCTACCGAACACAGAGGAAGAGGAGAAATCTTCCTCGCAAAGCCCCCAGCCCACCGACGCCAGAGAGCACTGCCCGGGAACATGTATGGGAAAAGCTTTGCAACTGAGCATGTGCGAGGAGCACATGCCCCGGACTATGTATAAATAAGAACCTAAGTACTGAGCATGTCTAAACGGGAGCCCAGAGGGTTCAAAAGGGGGATTTGAGAGGTCGAGGGCGGGCGAGCTGTGTGAGAACTTATGTTCTAACGGCTCCCGGTGCGCTGTAATTGTTCATCTACCGCTTACTAATAAATTGGCTTGTTATTTTGCATTAGCCTTCTCAATTTTCTTAAACCATCACTGGTAACTTATAACAGGCAACTGCAGAACACCCCTGATCACAAAAACTCCTCATCATGAGGCAATCATGGAAACTCTGCTTGTAATAAAACCGTTTCATTTATTTCTTACAGATAGAGGGGTGGAGAAACAGAGAGAAAGCAGAAATATAGAAAGTGAACACTTTAAAACCCTCTCAAGAGAACTCGTCCACAGAAAGAAACTTTTAATCTTCCCCCCCCCCCCCGAACATTACCAGGCATAAGGGGAGGGGAGTGCCGAGAACACGAAAGAAAAGCCTCAGAATATGCCTTTTTGTGCTGAATTTTCATGGATGCGGGGGTTCCAGGAGGAAGGCGTGTGTCACAAATTGTGGGACTGTTAAAACGGGACAAGACTTTGAATCCCCAAGCCATTGCAAACTTGCAAACACGTGGAAACCACGCCGGAGCATGGGCAGCGCCATCTTACCCATGCCAGGAGCAGAAAGTAGTGCCCTCTCTTCCTGTTTCGTGGCTTCTTGTAGACTGCCTCTGCTAAAGGCATGCGTAGAACATAATTCGCGCCGGGAGCCGGTAACTAAGCAACACCTGCTGTGCCTGCAAGCGGCAATGGTGAGATGTTTAAAAAAGATGCGGAGCGGGGTAACCGCGAGATGCGTGGCACGAAGTTCGAGAAAGCAACCACGGACCAGGTCCCCCCCCTTGCCGCGGGGACTCCCCGTCGCGGGCCATGGCTGTGATAAACTATATATTTTTTTAGATTGTTTTTGTAAGGCTTACTAACACTTCATGCTATGGATGTGTGATTTCTATATGTATTTCTCTCATGGCTGTTAAGACTACATATATACGTTTTAAAGAGTTTTTTTAGAAATATGCATTCCCCACGTAACTGTGGAATGCTGTTAACAAACTGCCGAAGCCACAATCTGGAGACACGGAGGCTCCCCCAAACAAGAGATCAAAAGGAATGTGATAAGCCTGGGAGGGGAGGAGAATACCTTTTAAATGCGCATATTCCAAGCTGGGGTCATCTGCCGAACACAAAGAAAAAGGAGAAACCTTCCTCGCAAAGCCCCCAGCCCACAAAGAAATCCACAGCCGATCGGCGCCAGAGAGCCCTTCCCGGGAACATGTATATGAGAAACTTTGTAACTGAGCATGTGCGGAGAGCACATGCCCCGGACCATGTATAAATAAGAACCTAAGTACTGAGCATGTCTGAACAGGAGCCCGCAGAGTTCAAAAAGGGAGTTTGGGAAGTCGAAGGCGGGCGAACTGTGTGAGAACCTAAGTTCCAGCAGTCCCCCCGGCGAGCCGTGATTGTTCATTTACCGCTTACTAATAAATTGGCTTGTTATTTTGCATTTGCTTCCTCAACTTTTCCTAAATTACCGCCAGTAACTTATAACAATGGCGGCGGCGGGATCCAGGGGTCTCCGAGTTAGGGCGGCCCAGAGGAGCGGGGCCGGGGCGTCTCGAGGCGGTGTGGAACCGCGCGAGGCTGAGAGCGGCGAGGCGGGTGGCCGGGCAGGCTTGCTCCAAAGCTGCGGCGCGAGTTAGTAAACAAAGCCAAAAGCGGCAATTCAGACTAGGGAAAGCGAAACTGCTTGTAAGATTCCGTGCTGCTGTAGCAGCATTCACAGAAGTACCAAGCCAAAGCAGGCACCAGAGGGGAGCGGGGCCAGGGCGTCTCAGGGCGAGCGCGACGTAGGCAGCAGCGCGCGAGTCCTGGCAGCGTGTAGCCACGCGGAACATGCACGGGCACTGCGGGCTGAGGAGGAGAGCGATGCCAGTGGTAGGCACGGACCGCGGGGCTGACAAAGCGCTCGGCAACCGCAGCAAAACAAACCAAGAACAAAGTTACACACGGCAAGCGGTTCCGTGGCAGTGAGGCGGGTTTGCACCGAGACAATAGTGTGGCCCCAGTGAAAACCGAAACTGGCGGCACGGCGCGGTGTCGTGCCGAGCCAAGTCGAAACCCGGCGACAGTAACCAGCGACGTGACCCCCCCCCCCCCCCGTGAGCGGACCAAGCCGTGGCAGTGGCGGCTCCAATTCCTCCAGGAGTGTGGCCAGCGACAACACCACCCCTTCCCCCCATGAGGGGGGCAGGGGCCCGGGCCGGGGCCGAGGCTAGTGCAGAGACTAGATGTACTGGCTCCACCCCCCCCCCTTCCTTTTTTCCCCCCCTGTACTGATACAAACTCCTATGGAGAAAGTTAACTCCAACCCAACCAGACCCAACACACTTTAATTAGGGAGAATGCTTATGCAGAATAACTGCTCATATAATATTTCCTTATCTGTGTCCTTCAATGTGAAATTCAGGTTACAGAGGTTTAGCTATCTGAAAGCTTAGGACATTCCCTAAGTCTTTGTTCTATCTCTCTGCTACAGTTATTGAAGGTATGTCCAGAACACATTTTATTACATCCTATAAGATTCACAAAGCCAAATTTAGGTGCCAATGTGTCTTTCCAAGGGGGATTTTGCTACCTTTACTCAAAGAGAACTTTGCATTACAATACATTGACTCTGGTCTGAGCAGAGCATCTTTCTATATGAGTACCTTGGGAGTACCTTGAGTCTAGAAAAAAATAGGAACTTCTGGAATTCAGTTCCCTCTTGCACATTTTGACCTCAATATCACTTATTAACTATAATCCTGTTCAATTAACAAACAAGAGTTGTAATCAGGAAACTATTTTTTAAATTCATGTTTATATTATTCTCTGCACTATTTATTTCACCAGGTAGTTAAAAGAGTTTCAAATCGTAGAATGTAGTCTCTCTTAAGACATTTTGCTGTTGAAAGAAACAAAGGGAAAGGCCTCCTTCCTCAACTGAGGGGGAAAAAAGATGCCTGTACCAATTCCAAGGACAAAAAAAATTGTTATTTAGGAACTGTAAGCAAATATTGCTTTCATATGCCCCCCCAGTAAATAATATTTAATTTTTTCCATTTGATTGAAGTACTGCAATTGACTGATCCAAGGCTGTCTATGGCTACCACAGACATAACATACATACATACATACATAGACCATAACAACCTTAGCAGTAAACCATTTAGTATCATATGACTTTAAGAAATTTGATTAACATAAAATTAAGTGCCTGAGAAACACTTCAATTCAGAACTTTAAGAAAGCTTTCCAGCTTCTGAATGATTATAGCAAAACTGAGCAAATCTCGGATTCATGTTCACCATTTCACATGCACTAGAAACACAAGTTTTTTATGTTCAGTATGATAACATATAAATGAGACACTGTTATAAAAATACTACTTTTATCCTCACAATTATGATCATGATCAGGAAGTTAAAGTTGAAATTTTAACCCAAGAAGTTTGTATCATATTTGCAATACAACTGTAATAAATGGCTCATAAGTCTCTTAAAAAACACTGCAGAAAGGGTTTAACAACCACCTCATATCACAAAAAACATACAAACGTAATATAACAGCATCTTGTTATTATATGTTTTACACATAAGTCTTGAAAAATTCTTAGAAATGTTTTTATGTAGAATAATTTAGTTAACTGTCTTTAGCTTTGTGTTTATATTGATAAGAGAAAAAAAATTTCAACATTGCCTTGTTAATACTTTTTTTAAGTTTCTAACTTCCCTGTAACTTTGTTTAAATTACTAATAGTAAAATTTGCTAAGTGTTGCTTAAAATTATCAAGTTCTTAAATGCATCTAGATAAGTTTAAATGTTATAACTATCTTGTTTAAGTAATGCAATTAGTATATTTTAAGAATTTCTATTTTTATTAATTAACAGATTGTAATAGTAACCTATCTATTTACTTTCCTAAGTACAGACTCAAGAATGTGCACATTACTTACCAGTATAATGCCTTTAAATTCATTAAGTTTCAGTATTCAAAATAAAAAAGGGGGAGTAGAGAATGAGAATATGCATGTGCTTAAGTGCTGAATCGAACAAATTTCATTTAAATTTGTTAAACCTATATACTCCTTATAATAATTCCTCTTTAAAACAAGTACAGTTGTTAAACATAAATACCAGAAATGACAAACTAACAACCTCATAACCAAACACTACATAAAAGTCTAAATCATACAACTGGAATATGAAAACAAAATAAAGATTACAGGTATGCATGAATGAAGAGAAAATGGGGGTGGCCACCCAAATGAGTGAAAGAGAGACTGTGTGGATGTATGAATGTATGTGAACCATATGCACCTTATGCCATATATCTGAAACAAGCACACTCACACAACAAACACTACCTCTAACACATCACCTTAATAAAAGACAACTCAGAACATGATGTTCCTCCCCTAAACCCTTTTTTCTTTAATAAAGTAAGTTTTCCTCAGTTATGTGTAGACCCTCAGATAATACAAGCCTTTGTTCTACCCGATTGCATAAGACCCTTAGGTAAATAAGGTTTCTGATTAATAAAGTCTTGTTATTGCATAGAACTCTTAGGTAAAATAGATTTAAGTAAGAAATAAGTTTACTATGTCTAATGAAAAATGTTTTGTTGAGAAATAGTTAAGAATTGCACTGTTTTTTTGAATTTACACTGTTTTTTATCTTGTTATTAATAAAAACGAGGGAATTGTGGGGTCTGGTTACACCATGGGTGCTAGCAAGCATCCTGGGAGTTGTAGTTTGTAAGTACTCTGTCACACATGCGCAGTTAAATGCTTGTATAGGATTGGTTGATAATGTCACGTGTTGTGATGTGTCAGTATTTGAAACCACTATATAAGTGTTGCCTCTTTCAATAAACCATGCTTTTCTTGCACACCATATTGGTGTCCTCATGGTCCTTGGGACCCCTTACTTACTATATTAATACAGATGCATTCCTTTCACACCACGTTGGTGCTTGCATAGTCCTAAGGACTCATTATTTATTATATTAATATAACTACTACAGATCCATACTAAAAGCATTTTGGAAAACAATATGAATTCTCCCACTTACTGGTGCAATCTAGGGAACTTGCTCAGTTCAACTACAATCAGCTTAGTTTTTTATAATTGCATGCCTTAGCTGTGATTTTTGTCAACTGCAGAAGGAAGCACTTATTCATTGGGAAAACAAAATGATTGGACTGCCAGCTTGGGAAAATATTCTTGCTTTTAGATGTTCCCCTAAATTTATATATATATCTGTAAATAAGTGCCACTGAGATAGGTATTACGCTGTTCCGTATCTGGATGTAAAAAACTTCTTCAAAATGTGAGGTTGGATGTGTGCTGGCCTTGGAGACTGTGGCAGGGAAGTACAGAGTGCACGAGCACTGCCTGCACTGAGCACTGCATGAGGCTCTTCCAGCTTCATCCTCTGTGATACTCCTGTTCCAAGCAAAAGCTCCTGAGACACCCAGTGATCAGTAAAGGGTAAAATAAAAGGAAAATTATCTCCAAGAGGGTTTTCATTTAAGCAGTATTGTCCCACATCGCCAGGGTCTCAAGTCCCAACTAATTTCCTTATTTGCAGGCAGGAATAGAGCAGTACTTTTTTTTTTTTTTTTTAGTTTATTCCAGAGAGTTTTTTCCTCCAATTTAAGTTGTTTTGAACTTTCTGGGATGGGTTGAAAACTCCTGACATGGAGGGATGGGTGTGTGGATTGTTTAGCTGCGCAGGAAGGCGGTGGATGCAAACGCCAGCCTGAAAGCGCATCCATACCTTGGGGAAAGCCCTGGAATGAGCTCCCCATTGTGTCATGGTTTTACTGGTCGTTAGAAAGTAAGTAGGAATTTTTCCCTTCCATTGAGGAGGACTTTCTTTTTGTTGCTGTTTCTCTCTCCCCTCTCCCTCTCCCCTTTCCCAGTGTGTGGGAAGGAGAGGGAAACCCAGTTTTTTTTGGTTTCTCCATCACACCCCGGAGGGTGTTACCCCCACGTGGCAACGACCAGTGATTCCACAGTGCCCCCTGCTGACCAGCATAGAGAACTGCAGGTTCTGAATCTCCAGTGATCCAACAGTGCCACCTGGTGACTGGCACAGGACACTACAAACTCTGCATCTCCAGTGACCCAACTGCGCCTCCTGTTGACTGTGGTTGGAATTGCACCAAAGGGTGCAAACAACTGTTTACTTTTTTTCTTTGTTTATTGGTTTGTTTTGAAGGGGATTATCTGTGGATATAGGAGTATTGTTTGGTTGTTTTACTTTTTTGTTGTTGTTGTTTCTGCCAATACACACATACTTTTTAATAAAGGGCTGTTATTTTTCCTTTTCCATATTTTTTTTCCCTTCAATCAGGGCCTTCTAATTTCGGATTTATAATTACGTAGAGGGAGGAGTTTGGGTCTTTTCTCATAACTCATCCTTAGCAAAATACCTGTGTCTCATTTAAAGTGGGACACATTGCTTTTCCCCCTCCTAATCCAAGGAGCAATCCCAAATGCATCCCATCCAAGTCACCTGACCAAGTGCCTTTTCTTTTGCAGGCAGGACAAGCTCAAAATCCACACGACAGAGCGACCATGTCAAATTTGTGTAAAACTATGACCTGAAGAACCACATGCACATCCACATCGGCATCCGACCCTACCAGTGCAAGTTCTGCTACAAGAACTTCACCCACTCCAACCACCTCCATTGCCACATCAAATGCCAGAGCTGATGGATCATGCAACCCTGGCAAAGATGCAAGTCGGTCATATGGAGGGCAGTTGGCATTCTCTTTTCTCCTGGTGACCCACCAGTGGAGAAGAGCTTTGTGATGCCACCAATACTGGAGGAGATGAGTGGTCACCTCAGTGGCATGGCCATGTGCCTTCCTGGTCCCAACCCCAAGCACTTTTTGAGCAAAGCCAAGACCTCCTTCAACCTGCAGGAGCTGGACAGCCAATGTAAACAAACCCAGATAAAGCTCTTCAGGCAAGCCCAACTGGATATGGAGAGGAATGCGGGCATCTTTACCTTCACCCTGGACCATAAAGAAAACCTCACTGTCCAACCCTTCTTCCCTCTTTCCAATCTTTGGAGCATGAGTTTCAGCAGCTTGGCACGGCTCAGCCATGTGGCTCCCATCCAGTTGGCAACCAGTCACTAGTGGTGTCCCCCAGGGATCGGTGTTGGGCCCAGTCCTGTTTAACATCTTTATCAATGATTTACATGAGGAGATTGAGTCCACCATTTTGCAAATTTGCAGATGACACAAAGTTGGGGGGGAGTGTTGATCAGCTGGAAGGCAGGAGGGCTCTGCAGAGGGACCCGGACAGACTGGAGACATGGTCTGATTCCAAGGGGATGAGGTTCAACAAGGCCAAGTGCTGGGTCCTGCACTTTGACTACAATAACCTGTAGTGGATTTGTTTGGTTAAACATCATTTCCTCTTCCCGGTCAGAGAGCTGGACTGGGTCGCCTGATTC